ACACACAAATAAATAGACACAAACGACAGGATTCCCCATCTTTTCCCATACTTTCTGGGTTTTTGTATCCCCCCCCCACCTCCCACATTTTCCCATATCTTCTGGGGAATCGACGATTAATTGTGTCTGTGTGTTTTTCTCCCTCCTGACACATGCGAACCCAACCCCTGCCCCCCACGATTTCTGAGGGGGGGGGGCGGGGTTCACTTCGCTCGGGAGCTCCCGAGCAAAGTGACCCCCCCCCCTCAGAAATCATGGGGGGCAGGGGTAAGGTTCGCCCATCCCTGGCCTTTCTGGGCCCTGGAAGCGACCGGGCCATTCCCTTACCGGTTCCGTTTTGCCGCTTCGTCTGCCGGTTCCGACGCCGTTGTTGTGGATGGTTCCGTCGCCCTTGTTTTTCCGATTTTCCGGCTCCAGTTCCAATCCCGGAACAGTTTTTGCTGCCGTTTCCAGTCGCCTTTTTTGTTGCCGCTTCCATTTTCAAGAGACACCTTTTCGGAAACGGTGAAAAAACGGCCCTGCCGCTTCTGGGGCCCACTAAGTCCCTGGCCTCCCTGTCTTTCCTCTCCCTGTTCGGCCCCCTGGGTTGTGCTTTGGCGACGCGTGTCGCTGCTCTTCTGGTGCTGCCCTTGCAGCCTGGATCTGTCCTTCGCAGGAGCTGCGCGGCGCGGTCGCCCAGACTTGAGGCTCCCGGCATCTCATGAACTTGCCCCGCACCATGGTACGCAGATTCGCCTTGCCACCCCCAGCTTGCTGCCCGTGCAAGCCTGTCCTCTGGCACACACGTACAAGATCTTCACGGCTTGAGCGTGCACCGCTGCCCGCGGCTTCCTCCCACCCATCCCTCCGCGCGTGTCATTCCCCCATTGCCTAGTTAGGCCCCCGAAGCGTCCCTCGGCTGCCTCGACCGCGCCTTGGGCCCAAGTCGCCGCTGACAATACACGTGCCTTCCCTCTGTCCTGGGCTGTCGCCTCGTCGTTTGTTCCCACCTCTGTGCTCGTGTCCTCGCCGTCGTCGTCCCCCGGATCTTCTGGGCCAGCGCGGGGGGTTCTCCCTTGCGCGCTCGCCCTCTGTGGTGGCCAGGCTTCTCCTCTCTGCACTGCGCCGCGGCCTGGCGGCGCGAAGGACCAGAGGGCAAGAGAGCCGCCCTCGTAAGAGGCACCCCCCCATACCAGCGAAGCCCGCGAGCAAACGCAACCCAGAGAAGGAACTTCGCTCGGGGCAGGGCCGTCCAGGGAACGCCCAAGGTCGGTCGGTGAACGCCCAGGGCCGGTCAGTGAACGCCAGTCCTGGAGGCCGGGGTGGTCTTTCCTCCCTGGACGTCGGCGACTCTAAAGGGCGTGGTTTGCAAAGGGTGTGGCTCGCAACTGGCACCCTGGGGGGGGGGGCGGGGACCTCGACAGAGCTCTCCGCCGTGGCGCCGATCGCCAACCACACCCTGGCGTAACCACACCCTTTGTGATCGCCGAGAAGGGGCGGGTGCCGGAGCGCCCGCACGGCCCAGAATTGAGCAGGGACCGACCGTCCCGGCATTCCTATAGCACTACCACGAAATGTTCTTCGAACCCAAACATGTTCCGAGAACACAAACAATGCTCTCAGAGCAGAAACCCGAGATGATAAGACAGGCCAGCCCCGACCAGAAGTGCTCTGAGAACACCTCGTGGGCACCACGAAAGGCTCTTAGAACATTGCTTTGGTAGGACTACAGTGCCGTGTTTCATACATGCTCCGCGTGCGGATCATGTATTACAAATGCAGGGATTTAGTATTAAAAACAACGAAGAGTTCATGCATAGATTTATTCATACATTAGTCATGCATCAAACATCCTATAACTATGTTTAGAAACCCCATGTGTTGAAAACTGCCCTCGCCACTGCTCGACCTCTGTGGTCGCCGAGACAAGGCGGGCGAGGGCGCCCGAGCGCCCGCACGGCTCCGAAGGGCGCGAGGGGTGCCGACCGGCGCGCGGAAAACTCGGCCTCGCGCCGCATCCCCGAGAAGCCCGAGCTCGCAGCAGCGCCGCGTCCCTCGCAGGGGGGCCGCGGGCGCCCGGGCCATCGAGCAAGGCGCGCGCCTGCCCCAGGAGGAGGAGGAGGGGGGGGGAGAGGAGGAGGAGGAGGAGGAGGAGGAGGAGGAGGAGGAGGAGGAGGAGGAGGAGGAGGAGGAGGAGGAGGAGGAGGAGGAGGAGGAGGAGGAGGAGGAGGAGGGGGAGGGGAGGTGGGGGGAGGGGAGGGGGGGGAGGAGGGTGAGGCGAGGAGGAGGAGGAGGAGGAGGAGGAGGAGGAGGAGGAGGAGGAGGAGGAGGAGGAGGAGAGGAGGAGAGAGGAGGAGGAGGAGGGAAAGAAGAAGAAGAGGGGGAGGGGGAGGGGAGGGGGAGGGGGAAGAGGGGGAAGAGGGGGAGGGGGAGGAGGAGAGAGAGGGTAGGGTGGGGTGGGGCGAGGGGGAGGAGGAAGAGCGAAAGGAGAAGGAAGTGGAGAGGGAAGAGACAGAGGAGGACAAGGAGGAAATGAGGCCCGACAACCTTCCCTTCCTCTCTCGCGCGCGCGTCGCATGCGCAGCCGATGCTTGACCAACTGGTGGGCGGTCGAGTACGCTGCGTTCTGCTGCGGAATCTCTGGATGCCTGGCAGGCGGGCAGGCTTTGCACAGGATTCAGCAGAGATGATCGGGGGGGGATTGGGGAGTAGGAGCGAGGCGGAAAAGGGAGTCCCGGGGGAGCGACCTCATAGTCCGCGCAGTGTGCAGACCGGGGCTGCTCAATGCGCTGACTTGCCCAGGCTCCTCTGCCGAGAGCCTCTCCAAAGGGCTGCTTTCCTCCCACCCCCCTCCCGCTCCCCTCCTGGCCCGTCGTTCCCATCCTTGGATCCCTTTTCCCCTCGCATCGCTCTTCCTGACCTCGCCCTCCCGTGGCCTTCTCAGACTTGCCACAGAAGAAAACAAAAAAGGGGGGCCTGAGGAAAGCGGGTCCTGGGCCGCGCGGCGTTCTTTCTCCCCGGGGACCGGCTTCTGCTTCCCTCTTCCGGACCTCGCCCTCCCCTGGCCTCCTCAGACCTGCCACAGCAGGGTTGGAGGCCAGGAAATTGGCACCAACACCAACACAGGGGGTTGCATCCACAGGGGGGAAGATGATCCTAGATGTCGGTGTTTGTGGTGATATTTCGGCCACCTTGGAAGCCAGCATGTTACCACCATCACCGAAATCGGGATCTTTCTTCCCGCGAGGGAGGAACACCCCCGATATTTGTGTTGGTGTCTATCTCTAGGCCTGCGACAAGGGAGCAAGAAGGCAAACAAAAGGGGCCCCGAGGACGGCGGGGCCCGGGCCGCGGGGCTCTCTCTCTCCCCCGGGGGGCGGGCTTCCGCCTCCCGGAGCGCTGCGCTGGCGGCACCGCCCGGCCAGACCCAGGAAAAGTGTGCTGCACGCAGGGAGGCCGAACGCAGCGAACGGCACACCCCTCAGGGCCAACGGTTCTCTCCTGCGCGGGGGCGGAGCTGGACGGGAGAGGGACGGAGAGGGAGGAGAGGAGAGGGGAGAGGAATGTTGGGAGAGAGAGAGAGAGAGAGAGAGAGCGAGAGAGAGAGAGAGAAAGAGAAATGGGGGGGGGAGAGAGAGAGAGAGAGAGAGAGAAGGAGCCGAGGTGCAGATGGGAGGTGCAGCGAAGGGGGGGGGGGGGCAGAGGGAGAGCGAGGGGAAAGCGAGGAGGGCGCTCCTCGCCCTCAACTTCCCTTCCGCCCCACGCTCCTCGCCCTTCCTCTTCTTCCGCCGCTTTTTTGGGGCGCTGCTCGCGAGGGGGGGGGGGGTACATGGCATGGGGCGAAGAAACGTGCACCTCTCGTGCCCCTCTTGGGCCCCCTAGAGTGCGCGAGAGGTGCGCGCTTCTTCCTGCCCCACCCCGTGTTTCGCCCCCCATACAAGCCTCGTCAAGAAGATCCAGCCATGGAAATTGAAATCCTGGAGCAAAAATGCCCATGGAATATCCAGAATATCCTGGAAATTGAAATCTTGGAAATCCTGGAAATTGAAATCTTGGAAATTGAAATCCTGGAAATTGAAATCCTGGAAATTGAAATCTTGGAATATCCAGAATATCCATTAAGCCTTTGCCACAACAAAATCCTGGAGCACGATGCTCTCGGGCACTTCTCAGAAAGCGCGTCTCTCAGTGCTGAGAGGGCGAGGGGCCGGGTTTTGCACAACACCGCGTCCGAGTCAGCGGGCATCCGTCAGCGTTGGAGTATAGCGCTGACCCCACCATCACCGAACTCAGAAGCCTTCTGCTTATTTTTGACGAGGCTTGTACAGTCGGGGCCCTGAAGAAGGAACCCTTTTCGTTGGGGAGGGGCTCCGCGTTCCTGAAGTGTTTCGCAGCTTGCCCCAGGTGTTCCTTCTGTTTTCGATCGGACATCGGAGTTTCACTTGTGGGAAAAGGGGGCCTCGTTCCTTCTTTGGGGTTCCTTAGGTCAAGGCCCCGGCTGTAGTACGCCACGAGGAGGAGGAGGAGGAGGAGGAGGAGGAGGAGGAGGAGGAGGAGGAGGAGGAGGAGGAGGAGGACGAGGGGGAGGAGGAAGAGGAGGAGGAGGAAAGGAGGGAAGAGGAGGAGGAGGAAGAGGAAGAGGAGGAGGAGGCAGAAGACGAGGAGAAGGCAGAGGAGGAAGAGGAGGGAGGAAAGGACTTCCTCCTGAGAGGGTCCGTTCCTCAGTTTCTCTTCGGGCGCCAAAAGACATGCAGCTTGCTGTCTAGCCAAGATGGTAGGTGTGACCTGTGGATCCCTTCTCTTGCCGAAGCTCCAGATCCTATCCGCGGGCCTCCAGTTCTTAGTTAAGCGTTCATCTGGGGAGGGAAGAGCCAGAGGCGACAAGGAGAGATCGCAACCGCCCAACAAGCAGTCGCCCCGCACGTCGCATGTGGTGGCAAAGCTGCAAGGGACACGCCCCAAACGAATCGCAATGCCTCCTGCACCTCCACAACTGTCCTGGGCGTATGCCTGAGGCCGGCCTGCATGTCGGATGCAATGAAATACCGTGGATGCAGGCAAGCGCCGCCCACCGAATTACCCGACCCCCTTCTCGAAAGATGGTGGTGCCGTGACCATGCGGTAACGCGCCGAAGCTGAAACGCCTCTCGTCGAGGTCAGCGAGCTTCGGCGTTGACCAAAACCGTCCGAAGATTCGATCTCGAGAAAACACGCTTGTGCGCACTGCTCGCTCTGAAACACTCTGAATTAGGCTCGCTGCCCAAGGCACGAGGACGAGGAGGCGGAGGAAGAGCCGGAAGAAAAGGGAAAGGGTGGAGGAAGTAAGGATGACGAGGAGGAGGATGACGAGGAGGAGGAGTGCACTCACCTGAAAAGTGGCGAGAAAAGGGCAATCGGACAAGAGAGAGAGACAGAGAGAGAGAGACGAGGCGAGGGCAAGGGGGTTATCATCCTGTCCAGGCGGCTGAGGAGCGTGGCAACAGCAATGCACAAGATCCAAGCACACTGCAACGTTCACCGGCGCAGTGTTTGGGAAGGGAGGAGCGCGAGGCAATAAAAGCGAGTCGACCCCCGAACTGTACACGAGGGCCGAAGGGAGAAGGGGAACCTGCATTCCAAGCGCTGAGAATTTTCGGGAAACGAACTCTATACACCGACGCTTTTTCCGACCCTGCGCTAAAATTCGCACAGGAACGAGGATATTGGTGTGTACGGGATCTTGGTGTATACATTTTCCGTTGTTTCCCTTGGAAAGCGGGAAAACAGTATACACCACACCACCCCGACGTCGTCCCCGACCCTCGAAAAGTCGTGAGATGGAGAAAACAACTCGCCACTGGTAATGTATATATTCCAAGCACGGAGAATTTCGGGCAGTCTACGACATGCTGAAAAGTGCCCCCCCACCAGAGAGACCACAGGCTATGCAGGGTGCAGCCGGGCCGCGGAACCTGCCGCTGCGCGACCACAAATTGCGCGCCGTGTTTTGTTGTGTTATTTTTTGTTTGTTGGTTTTGCTTTTATAGATTATATTTTCTAGTTTATAGACGTACATATCTATATGTACACACATACATCTGTGTATATATATATATATATAGATGTATATGTGTATATACACAAAGAACATGAGGGCGCTCGACACGCACGAAGGGGCCATCTCAGCGGCCCTGGGAAATGCAAGGATGAAATTTTGGGGAGTCGCGGCTGGACAACTCGGGCCACGGCTTGCGGGCGCAGGCTTCAAGGAGCTCGCGGGGGGAGTACGTCCGAATGCTCAGAAGGCACCGCTCGACCTCACGTTGAATGTTGGGGACCTCGCGTGGGACCTCGGGCAGGCCGTTCATCGCGCTCGTCTTCCAATACCGGGCGCAGCTGCCGCAGGATACATCAGTCATCATCTCCATGGAATGCGTGGAGCAGCCGGTCCGCTATGTGAGAAGCCGGTGTCCTCTCAGCAACTCTAGACCTGGCCGCCTTGCTGCGGATCTGAATCGACGCTGCGCCCCACGAACTGGAGGCGTTGTGTCAATTGGGGCGAGATCGCGTTTCAGGGGCCACAGGGGGAGCACCTGGACCACGTTTCTCTCAGCTTTCCGCGCGCCGACGCACGGGGGGAGACGCCGACCTGCGAAACTTGGGACCGACACGCACGCCACGTCGTGACGACTGATCGACTTGGTGGGTCCCAGGCCCAGGCGCTGCGCGGCGTGGACACGCGACATGAACTTCGCGAGCGGGGCCTTCTTGCCCTCCCCCTGGCAGTATTCCAAATCCCTTGTCAATCGTCCCCCGGGTCCGGTTTTTTAAGGCGCCTTTTTGGTCATTAAGGGGGTCCGGTTTATTAGGTCGCTTTCTTTGGATTGGAGCTGAGGGGGTCTGGTTTATTAAGGCGCCCCATCGAAGAGGGGATCCGGAACATTAGGTCGCATTTGGAGGGGGGTCCGGTTTTTCAGGGGGGGGTCGATTAATACGGGATTTGCAGTATCGCCCTGGCACGTTCCCGAGGTGCCGGGCGGCCCCCGGCGACGAGGGGCCCCTGGGCGAACCGACCGGGGCGCTGCGCACTGCTTCCGGACTCGACTGCCTCAAAATCCCCAAGAATGAAGGGGCCCTCGGACACACAAATAAATACACACAAATAAAATGATTCCCGATATTTTCCCATATTTTCTGGATTTCTGTCTTCCCCCCCACTTCCCATATTTTCCCATATTTTCTGGGGAATCGACGATTAATTGTGTCTGTGTGTTTTTTCCCCTCCTGAAAGAAGGGCGACCGCCTCCATTCTAAAGTGGATATGCTGTCCGAAGGCCGCGCCTGCGAGAACGGAAATGTCGACGGCGATCGGGCGCGCGGGCGAAGCGTCGCTGCCAGGGGGCCGCAGGGTCGTCGGCGCAGGCCCCGAGCTCGCCCGTGGGCCGGGAAGGCGCTGGGCCGGCATTCCGACGACACGTGGTCGTAGGCCAAAGCGAAGAGCGACCCGGACCTCGGGCATCCTTGTTTGACCCCTCGGCATAACATACTTCCGTGACGACGAAACGAGACACGCATAAGGGGCGCTCTGATGCGCGGCCTCGACGGCGCCCAGGAAAACCCTTGGGCGCCCCGTGCGGCTCAGGGGGGGAACATCGGGGCGCCGTGGATC